CCTTTAAACAGAACAACTGATAGCCAAGAACTTTGTATCCAGCAAAAACTGTTTCATAAATGAAGGTGGAAAAAAGTCATTTTCAGACAAACAAATGCTGAGGGAATTTGCCACCACCAGACCAGTCCTACAATAAATGCTAGAAGGAGTTTTAAACCTTGAAATAAAAGCCAAATATGCACCAAAATAGAACCTCTTGAAAGCTTAAAACTCACAAGGGCTATAAATAACAACACAATGAAAAAAATCAAACTTAGGTAACAACATGATAAAGAGAACAGTATCTCACATCTCAATATTATCATTGAATGTAAATGGCCTAAATGCTACACTTAAAAGACACAGAATGGCAGAATGGATTTTTAAAAATCACAAACCAAGTATTTTCTGTCTTCAACAGGCTCACCTAACATGTAAGGATTCATACAAACTCTAGGTAAAAGGGTGTAAAAAGATATTCCATGCAAATGGAAACCAAAAGTGAGCAGGAATAGCTATTCTTATATTAGGAAAAAAAACCAGACTTCAAAAGGTTAACAGAAAAAAAAAAAGACAAAGATGGTCACTATATAATGATAAAAGGATCAATCCAACAGAAGATATTACATTCCTAAATTTATATATTCCTAACGCTGTAGATCCCAGATTCATAAAACAATTACGACTAGACCTCAGAAATGAGACAGACAGCAACACAATAGTAGTGGGAGACTTCAATACACTGCTGACAGTACTAGACAGATCTTTGAAAAAGAAACTGGCCATCAGAGAAATGCAAATCAAAACCACAATGAGATACCACCTCACACCAGTTAGAATGGCAATCATTAAAAAGTCAGGAAACAACAGGTGCTGGAGAGGATGTGGAGAAATAGGAACACTTTTACACTGTTGGTGTGACTGTAAACTAGTTCAACCATTATGGAAAACAGTATGGCGATTCCTCAAGGATCTAGAACTAGATGTACCATATGACCTAGCCATCCCATTACTGGGTATATACCCAAAGGATTATAAATCATGCTGCTATAAAGACACATGCACATGTATGTTTATTGCGGCACTATTCACAATAGCAAAGACTTGGAATCAACCCAAATGTCCATCAGTGACAGACTGGATTAAGAAAATGTGGCACATATACACCATGGAATACTATGCAGCCATAAAAAAGGATGAGTTTGTGTCCTTTGTAGGGACATGGATGCAGCTGGAAACCATCATTCTCAGCAAACTATCACAAGAACAGAAAACCAAACACCGCATGTTCTCACTCATAGGTGGGAACTGAACAATGAGATCACTTGGACTCGGGAAGGGGAACATCACACACCGGGGCCTATCATGGGGAGGGGGGAGGGGGGAGAGATTGCATTGGGAGTTATACCTGATGTAAATGACGAGTTGATGGGTGCTGACGAGTTGATGGGTGCAGCACACCAACATGGCACAAGTATACATACGTAACAAACCTGCACGTTATGCACATGTACCCTAGAACTTAAAGTATAATAATAATAAGAAGAAGAAGAAGAAGAAGAAGAAGTCAAGAAAATGGCATTCTAGAACAATTGGACTTAACAGATATTTACAGAACATTCTACCCAAGAACTGCAGAATATACACTCTACTCATAAGCACATGGAATATTCTCCAAGATAAAACATATGATAGGCCACAAAGCAAGTCTCAACACATTTTAAAAAATTGAAATCATATCAAGTATCTTCTCAGACCACAGCAGAATAAGACTAGAAATCAAATCTCAAAGGAATCCTCAAAATTATAATGTGGAATAACTGGAACTGTCTCACACATTATAACAGGTACATCTATTTTACTTTGAAAAAAATTTTGGCAGTTTCTTATAAAGTTAACTCTTACCAAATCATCTAATAATTGCATTCCTACATATTTACCCAAGATAAATGAAAATATGAGCACACAAAGACTTGTACACTAATGATCATAGAAGCTTTATTTATCGTAGTAAGCAAATTGAAACAACCCAAATGCCCAACAACTAGTGAATGGAAAAGCAAATTGTAGTATACCTATACAATAAAATACTATTTAGCAACACAGAGGAACAAACTATTGATACATCCAACAACATGGACGAATCTCAAAACCATTATGCTAGACACTAGCATAGAAACCTACACACTATAAGAATCTGTTTACATGAAATATTAGAAAAGGCAAAACTATAGCACCAGAAAGCAGAGAGTGGTTATCAGGTGTCAGGGAGTCCTGATAGAAGGGAATATTAAAAAACACAGAAATTTGGGGGGGTTATCAAAATATTCTTTAATTGTGGTGGTGGTTACACAGGTATAAATAGTTATCAAAAGTCATCAAATTAGACATTTAAATTAGTGAATTTTGTTGTATGTCAATTATCTCTCAATAAATCTTCTAAAAATAACATAATTTGATTACAGATAATTTTGCTGTGCTTCTACTTTAGATATAGTTTTTCTAAGGTTTTAAAAACTAAAAAAGTTATACACTTTATTTTCTACTTTCTAACTTAATCTCAAATAATAAACATTCCCCATATTACTAAAATCTCTGTAACCATTTAATTCCTGCATAATATTCCAATTATACATATGCCACCCCTAATTAATCATTCCTTACTGGTAGGAATTTAGATTGTTTTCTATTTTCCTCTAAACTAATACTCTGATATACTTTGTGTATATACATATATTCTTGTATATTTTGGGGATTTTTTCCTTATATTTTCAAAGGTAAAATCATTAAGAAAAAGTATAAGAACATTTTGGGATATTTAAATATACCGTTATTTGTTTTCCAGGAAGATTGTACTGATTCAGCTCTCACTAGTAGTACATCAAAACAGCAGTTTTACTGCACTCCTGCCACAACTGAATGTTATCATTAATTGTTTTAAATATTTGTTTAAACCCTCTTCTGAAACTTTACACTTCAGCTCAGCATCGGTTTGTAACTCTTCTCTGTATTTCTGTGCATAGGCAGTCCATATTACTCACCCTCCTTTGGGCAGCGTCCACTTCATCCATCCAAATATCCCAAGGATCTGGGATATTTGCAGATCCACTGGGTCATGTGAGGGTCTACTCTGACATCATCTTATGTTATTCCACAGCCTGAGTCTGTCTCCATGTGTTACTTCTGTCTGGCCAGTGATCTCTCAGTGTGTTTTTGAATCCTCAGTGTTTATAACATCCCTAGTGATTAAAATTTTAACACAGCATAGACACAGCACCTCTTTTCCTATGATACAGCTCAGCAACATAGCATAATTCACCTTTCATGTAAAACTGCTGTGATTTGTGCTTCGTTGATGTCTGCCTCCCCACTTTTCCTCATAGCTCTCCTCTCATCACCACCAATTAGCGTGTTTCACCGTTACAAGCAATGATCAGATAAACAGAGAGATGATGGTAGTACAAAAGAAATCTGAGCCCTATCCTCTCCGTAGCTAAGTTGGATCAATTTTCAGCCCATCTTCCCCAGTCCCTTCTCTGCTGGACTTAATGTTCCCTTCCTCCTGCCAGCTTAATCCTATCCAGGTCCTGAGTCAGTACTGACTACAGCTGCCTTAGTTCCAGCAGGCTCTAACTGGTTCTGGAGTTGGTCTTGGATATGATAGTCTTTTATTTCTGACTCAACCTGTAAGACTCAGCTTGGGTATGTACTCCTCTGTATTAGAGCTCCCAGGATGGCTTGATGCCATTCTCGTGTGCTGCCATGGCACCGTCTGCTTGCCTCTGTTATTATATACTTGCCGCTTGATTCCAACTGCCTGGTGACAAGGTAGCCTTCCTCACTGGAGATGGGAGCTCCAGGAGGTCAGGGGCTAGCTCATCATCTATGTATCCCTGGCAACTTACACAGTCCCTGGAATCTGGTCGAAGCCTCCCTGTTTCTACTTTTGTTTTCCTACAACATACTCCTCACACAGCAGCCATGATGACCATTTAGAAACATAAATCATCTTTTCCCTGTAATTTACCAGTTTTCAGAGTAAGGGGTTGGTGCCCTACTTTTCTGAAATGGTATTTGTTGTGTTTTTGTTTTGGCTGGTGCTTTTGTGGTTCTCTATCAGTTTTTATTTTTTGTCTGTGTTATTATGAACTAATAGGCTTAAAAATATATTTAATATGAGATAATCAATTTCAGTCACTATTGTTTTTGATGTTAAGATTGCCCCATCTTGCATTGGCAGAAGTTCTTTCAAACTAGTTCCTGGGAGATCTGTTTGACATAGCCGTTATCTTTGAGAGATTCTTTATTGCCACCACAAGGTTTATCAGGTTCATCTTACTTATTTCACCCTGGACTTGGACTCAGTCCTTCTCCACGAATCTCTGGTCGTTAATGTTACTTAGAAACCATAATCTGAACATGTATGGATATTTCTTGCCACTGGTTTGTCATTATTTCTAGGAATTTGAGTGGACAAAATTAGGGAATACTCATTTTGGTTGCACTGTTTTACTACATTTCAAAATAAAAAAATCTCTGGTTGATGAGGAACATTTTTTTCCTTAGAGAAGAATTACAGTTATCAAATGTAGAAGAACTAGTGAAATTAGAAAATTCCCATTTAACAACGCTAATGAAATAATTGATTCAGGCAATGAACATTAACAGATGCTAAAACCATTAAGAGAAGAGATGATAGGGACCTTTACAATGGAAGAATCAGCCTGTCCCATCTGAAGCCATTGATCAATGTAAGCAGTTTCAAAATGAGACAACCAGACATTATGTGCTGCATGATGTAATGCAATTAAAAATACACAGCATCACTTGCAAACTTTTCTTGCCAAAAAATGTTAGACTTGAGTTGAATCAAGACCTAGGTCTAACTTTTAGTTTGCAGAGCAGTTGAAGGACAAATAGACAAATCCAGATTTTGAACCAATTTGTAAGACAGCTAACCCAGTTTCTTCCAGAAGTCAAGCACCAGAAAAAAAAAAAAAAAAAGGCAGAGCGCAGGGGGGAGATCTGTTCTAAATTAAAAGAGACTTAAAAGACATCCCAAATGCAATGATTAGATCTCAACTGGATCCTGATTCAAATAAATCAATTATAAATGGCAGTGGTGGTTATCACTGAGCAAGGTGACTGTGGATGATTTCTTTCTTCTTTATACTTCTCTGGACAACTTTCTATTAGCCCCTTACTGCAATAGACATACTCACATCATAATCATATATTAAATTTGGAAAATAAAAATAGGAATAATCTCTTCCAGGCTTCTCTCATATTCACATCAACAATGGTTATTATTTTATGCTATCAATGTCAAATCACTCTAAATGGCTTATCCCTGCTGTTTTAAGTGGCGTTGCTCTCACTACTAGAGAGGCAGGGCATCCTCTCATATGCTCATTGACCATTTATACTTCTTTTTTTGTAAATTACTTTTTTTGATGGTCTTGTCTATATTGCAAACTTATCTTTCTATCATTGCTGTATAGTTTCATAGAAAGTTGAATAAAGTGGTGTGATCATTAACAGGAAAAGGTGAAGAAACTACTGAGGCTTGGCAGTTCCAGGGATTTCAGTGTCCTGGGTCCCTGAAAACCCAGCGTCTGTCATTCTCGGGGCAAGCATAGTTGCACAACCCCAGGGATTGTCATTCACCTAAATACAGTGTGCTACTCTATTCTGAAAGTATACATAGAGAATCGGTTGGAGAATCTCAGTTTTCCTTGGTTGCAGACCTCTATATGAGATAAAATGTAAAATAAGTCGGCAAGTGGGAAAACTGTAAAATATGGATTACACTTTAATGCAGAACAAAATAAAGGACATGTAACAAACCATCAGAGAGATTTATTTATGAAAAATTTAGCTCCTCCTATTCAAACAACATTTAGTTTCAGAAAGGTAGTAAGAGCCCAGGGAAACTAACCAGTTATCACTCAACTTCAGCAAAGCATGGGAGGACACTCTCCTGCTCTTAGTCTTATTGTTAGGGTGTCTCCTCAATGTTCTTGTATTTTTTCTCTTTGCTTTCTGTTCCCATGATCACTTTCTGACTTTGTCTCTAGGATTCCATTATTAAAACTATCCAGTATAAAAGAGATTCCCTTTTCCTCATCTTTTTGTCTTGGATCTTTCTGAGTTAGTCTGCTGGAAGTCAAGTTCTAAGAAAGCAGGACACTTTCAGGGAATTGTGATGCATTTATGTGAGGCTGTGGCAGGGGGTAGATACACAATATAGAGGGATCAATGGATTAAGAATAATAAAAGGTCAGCAGCCATAAGCTTGAAAGAAATTAGCTTAGGAAAACAGAGTTGGGAGAAGCAAGGGAGATTCAGAGAGAACCACAAAGAGGAAACATTGAGCATCTATTCTGTACCATCCCTTATTGACATGATTGCATTTCATTCTCATAATTCTAGGAGATAGACATGTTATCTGTATTTCACAAAAATGGAAATTCAGAAAGGCCAAGTGAATTGCCAAATGTTACACAGCTTGTAGGTGTTGTTAGCACAATTCAACACCAGCTCTGTTTAGCCTTGAATGCCATATATACGCTTTCTAAAATCACCCTGCTTCCAAAAAAGGATACAAAAAGAAAATGGACCATGAAGAAATCATGGATTCTAGGATATCAATTTTTGTACATTGAAAGTAATGGTAAAAACCGCAATGACTTTTGCAGCAACTTTACCTATGACCTCTTTTCCTTAAGAACCACAGGTAGCAGGATTGTTCAGACTATACAACTGGCAAACTGAGAAAAGAGTTAAGTCAAACTTGCTCAAGTGTCCAGAAATGGGATTATTTTAATTCTATGGGAAAGTTCATTTCAAGAATGGTCATGGTCTGAAGAAAAGAGGAAAAATAGAAAGTAGGACATGTATTTATGGTTTATACCTCCTGAGGATGTTGTGCTAGAAAATAATTTAAATGCCTCTAAACTTTGGCAGGTGATACTGACTTTATCTGAAATCTCCTCTATCACCTTTTTCATCTGCTTGAAGAACTCCTATTGATCCTTAAACGCTAAACTCAGACATTACCTGCTCAATGCTTCAGAGTTAATCAGCCTGTTCCTTATCATCATTTCTGTATTTCTCTCTTATTTTGAGGCTCCTGTTGGCTCTTGTACTATAGCTCTAGAATTCTTCACTCTTGACATAGACGGAGTTTACTGACCTCCTACTGAAGTGATGGTGATGACTAGTGATGTCATCACCATCATGGATAGCTCACAATCCCTTCTCTAGAAGTGTTACATCACCCTGTGTCTCTCGTGCCCATAAGGAAAGCCCACTCAGTCTCCAATCTGCACAACACCTCTCTAACCACAGCCCCTGATCATTTCAGCTTTCTTACTTTTAAACCCATTTTTTCACCTGAATGAGCTGTCCAAATCCTTGCTTAGACCCTGTGTCCTATCTTTCTCACTACTCTTTTGTCAGTATTCTTAACTGTCATCCAGTTTTTGAGTTCACTGCATCTGCCCAGAAAAGTTATAACCTTGGATCGATCCAGCCACTCACCTTCTCACTGTCATACTTGAATTGCTGAGTGCTAGGGAAAAAAGATAACATACCCATGCAGATTAGTGACAATAGAAAGTCATTCTTTTAAACCTTAGCTTGGCCGTGTAGCTATGCAGCAGTCCTTCTCTGAGACTCAAGTCAGTCCAATCTTACTACTCTACAGTAGCTTTTACAGATCCTTGCCATTTTTTTAGAAGCCACCTACCTACCATCCTTTCCATTATTCTTGGATGCCACAGCTCTCACCTACTGCATAGAGGCTTCTTGACTATGCCCTGCCCCCTTCCGTCATGCCTTTAGAAACTTATGCATCTTTAACTTATTCCCACCTTCCTCAGTGGGGAAAACTGTCCTCCAATGCCTTTTCTCTGCCTGTGCTCTGAGTTCCCCTTCTTCGTTCCTTTCATCCATGTATTCTGTCTCTTCTTCTCTAATGCATTTTCTTCCTTTGTATAGAAGCAAGCGCATACCTATACCACCTTTTAAAAGACAAGAACAGAGTCCCTGCAGGCACAGTATTGTACTATGGGGAAGGGAGACCAATTTATAAACCCCCAGATGAAGTTTTGCCTACCTGAGGTCACTGCTATGCAAGAGGCAAAACCTTCAACCAATGACTTGGGGAATAAGAAGGAATAAGAATATGTTAAACTCAAAGTCATAGGACAGGATAGCAGTGAGATGCACTTCAAAGTGAAAATGACAACACATCTGAAGAAACTCAAAGAATCATACTGTCAAAGACAGGGAGTTCCAATGAATTCACTCAGATTTGTCTTTGAAGATCAGAGAATTGCTGCTACTCATACTATAAAAGAACTGGCAATGGAGTAAGAAGATGTGATTGAAGTTTATCAGGAGCAAATGAGATCATTCAGTAGTTTAGGTATTCTTTTATTTGTTTTTCTTTTCCCTCAATCAGTTTTTTATTTTTAAAATAGTTCTTTTGTAATGTGGTACTCAAAATGGAATTGAAAACTGGCACTCCATCTCTTTAAAACATCTGGTAATTTGAATTCTAGTGCTCATTATTCATTATCATTTGTTTTCATTGTGCTGATTTTTGGTGATCAAGCCTCAGTTCCCTTCGTATTGCCCTCTCCTTTTTAAAAATTACATGCGTGCACAGAGACAACATATTTTTTAGGACTGTGCATTTTCAGGCTTGTAGCAAGAAATAAGATTGACCAAGGCAAGTGTTTGTAAAGACTTTCCAATTGGCCTTAAAGTTCTAGCACATGATTGCTTCACTCCTGGACTGTGACTTTCACTGGGGGATGTAAGTTTTTCAGAGAACTAAACTGTGGAAAAATGACCTTTCCTTAACTTGAAAATAGCTTTAAAATTGGAGAGTCTAGACCAAAAGAAGAGGAATAGCATATTGGAGTCAAGATGACAGATAAGGTGAGAGTAATGACTAACCCCAAAGATGGCTTCGCTGAAGAGAATGCATTTTAAGATCTAAAAAAAAGAAATCTGGTCAAAAGATTCTATCATCCTGAATCATAAATCAGACAATGTGACTCTCTTCCTGTCCCCAAGATCCTTTAACTTAGCCATTGGAGGAGTATGAATATTTTTTAGTTGTTGAAGGATAGTAAGGTAAAATAAAAGACAAATGGATGAAAATGACTAGAATTTAACATTGAATAATAAAATCCAAACTCGTTTGACAGTATACAAGGACGTTTTTGAGCTCTCTGTCAACTTTCCCAATTATATCTCTCCACTTAGTCTTCATATTCTATGCCCCAGACAGACTGAACTATTTGCAATTCCAAGAAAGTTCCACATGCCATCTTTGCCCCATGCTAGTGCTCAGGTGATTCTCTGTGTCTTCTGCTTAGTTTTCAGTTTTATTTATTAATAACCTTCCCAAAAAAAGTCAATTCATTTTCCCAAAGCTATGTGATCCCTCAGGAATCATATGCATTTTTGTATCACTTATCATATGGCATAATATTCTTCTACACATTTGTCTGTCTCACCAAGTAAATGTTCCTTATGAAAATACATCAGGCTTTACATCTTATATCTCTTTCATCTTTGAATCTATCACCAGCACCTAGCATAGTACCTGGTTAAAAAAGACCATGCAAAGAGTTGAAAAAAGAAGGAACAGGTGGATTATTCAAAATATTTGTATTTCTGTTTCAGTTATTTATTGCTCTGCTATAAACCATCCTAAAATTTAGTGGCTCAAAATAGCAATTTATTATGATCTCTTAAAGTTCTGTTAGGTTAACTGGACTGAGCTGAATGGTTCTTGCTCAGAGTCTCCCAAGTAGGTGCTAACAGATGGTGGCTGGGTTGGAATCATTTGAAGGCCCAAATGGGTTTTATGGTCAAGATAGCTGTACCATATGGCCAGTTGTTGATTGGCAGTTCTGCTGAGACTGTCTCCTGAAGCTTCTATATGTGGTCTTTGGATGTGACTTGAATTTCTCACAGTATGACTGATGTGTTTCAAGAGCATCCCAAGAGGAATGTTCCATGTGGCCCAGGGGAAAGGTGCAAAGTTTCTTACGACCTAGCCTTAGGAGTGCTACAATATCATTTCTACCTGATTGTATTGGTGAAACAAAAACTGAAGGTCAGTCCAGATAACAGGGGAGGGAAATTAGACTTCACCTCTTGATGTGAGAATTGTGCATAGGTGCAGAGAAAGAAGAAATTTATGGCGGCCATCTTTGGAAACAAATTATCATAATTTGGAATGATAATTTTAAATAAGATTAATGTGTGCTATTATCCAAGACCTTTTCCTCCATTTGGCTATTTCACTCTTGAGAAGTATTTCCACTTATGGAATAAACAGGATTATGTGAAAAGGTAATCAATGAAGTACCTATAATTTCATCTATTCTATAAAAAGTTTGAACCTGAAGGTTAAAATAAGATTAGGAAATGACTTACGTGTTTCCATTGTCTTTTCACTCTTAGATGGCCATTATAAACATTTGAGAACTCATGATAATACAAACCAGGCAATCCTCAATTTTTCTCCTTTTGACTTTACAATTCTATCATTTTGATCTAAAAGATTAAATTCAGAAAACACATTTCTTTTAGAATAGTAATTCCTGTATAACTGGAAGTTTTTCCTTTCTAAAATTTAAAATTACCTTCACTGCTGTCAAAAGGTGAACAAGTACCTATTGACCATGACAAGAAAACAATACAGTGCTCTAGCAGTGACAGAATTATGTATTTAATGTCATTTATTTTTCACTTGGGAGTGAATTCTCTAGTAGCCAGTGAGTACTTGTCTGGTATAGAACATAGCTATTTAATTTTAAGATGAAAAATAAAGAATCCATCATCCACTGAATGAGATATTAACACTCAACTGTAGGATGGGACTAGATAGAAATGTGTTGCAATTGTAAAGGGAGAAAAAGTAACATTTAAAAGTCACTCTTTTCTTCTAATATAAATGGCCTAATTCAATATCAATGAATCTGTATAGTGCTTACCTTCCTTTATGCCAGAGAAGCAAAAGAAGAGAAAGAAAATGTCAAAGTCTGCTATTCTTTGGTGTCACTGAAATGTGAGATGGGAGTTGGTGGCTTATACTAAGCAGACACGAAAGAGTCCATGGACAGGAAAGCGTGAAGAAGAAAGATGAAGATCCTGCCTATCACACGAGGGCAGGGCTCCCTCTCTTCAGCAAAGTGTCCGACAACTTGGCTAGCACCTGGTCATCTTTCATGCTTTGTCCCATCCCTTACTTTCCAAAATCCTCTTAAGGTTCTCTCTTCTGTGTTAATAGGGTGGAGACCTGGACGATGGAGAAAAGGATGTGTATCAAGGGAGGGGGGCAAATAATGGGCTGTGTGAAACCCCTCCATCATCTCAAGCTTTCAGCAAAGTCTACCACACAAGCAAATGTCTTGTGTGAGTGAAATTGTCAGGGGTAATGAGACTGTGTTTCACATCTTGGGCAATATAGTGCAGAAACAGCGTTTGAAGAACAGCATATGCAGCAAGAATTGTTAAGGGGCATGTGACTATCATACCAATCACCACTTATTCCCTCCCTCCATCCTCCCTCTCAAAAGTACTTTTGGAAAGATTGGGAGGGATTCAAGGCTACTACAGCTTACACGTTAGGGTTGAAATAAATCTCATTTTAATCTCAATAAGCAGGACAACTCAGTTTACATGTAGCTTACAGTTTTTATTTAGATCTAATTCTCTTAAGTTTTGTATTCCTAGAAGGCAGAGATTTGGGGATAATTTGCCTCTGATTCCCCATGCTTTGCTTCCTAAAATGTATATATGTGCTAGAATTATTTCGTCGTTGGTAGAAGGAAGGGAGGAAGGAAGGAAGGAAGGAAGGAAGAAGGGAAGGAAGGAAGGAAAAAAGGAAGGAAGGGAGGGAGGAATTGGGAAGGAAGAAGAAGGAAGGAAGGAAGGAAGGAAGGAAGGAAGGAAGGAATGACAGGAAAAGAAAGAACAGAAAGAAATGAAAGAAAGAAAGATGAAGAAAGAAGAAAAGAAAGAAAGAAAGAAAGAGAAGAAAGAGAAAGAAAGAAAGAAAGAGTAGAAAGAAGAGAGAAAGAAAGAAAGAAAGAAAAGAAGAGAAAACGGAGAAAGAAGAAAGAAAGAAAGAAAGAAAGAATAGAGAAAGAAGAAAGAAGAGGGGACGAGGAAGGGAGGGAGGGAGGAAGGAAGGAAGGAAGGAAAGATTTTATAGATTCTTTAAACAACTAGACAGAGAGTTTTTACTCCAAAGAGCAATTTTGACCTCTAAGATACTAATGTATAAAAGATAAAAATAAGTGTGAAAAAAGTTTTCTATAAGTTACTGATGGCAAATTTTAATTTTTAATTATACCAGGGGAAAGAAATGTCAGAGGCTCTTTTTATTTAGGCAAGTTAGCAAAGACATAGGTTATGAATAAATATTAATTAGTCTAGAGCTAAAATAAATTAGGTTACGATAATTCTAAAAATGTTTATATTAACAAAGACTCCAAACTAAAGCCCATCATGTTTATGTAACATTTATATAACATTTATGCAAGTATTCAAAGCCTTCTCAATAGATAGTTTACTCCTGTGATATTGGAGTTTGTAAAATAATATTTTGCATGCAAATTATTTTATAGTTGGTTTACATAAACAGACTGGGGTTGGGTTGGTATAGCACTTGGACCTATCTGTAGAGCAGCTATTAGAGCTATATATGGTTTTTGCTATCATCCAAGAACATTACCTACAATTAGTGAATGATATGACCCCAGTGGGATGCCATCTACTCAGGAGCATTGTAAAGAACTTTTAGATTTGACAATGGCCCCATAGAACTCACTCAATAGGATGGACTGTACTTCAAACTCATAAAGTTCAAGAAAGAGAATACAGCTTCCTTGCATTGAATCAATGGACACAGGAGGTGCCAAAAGAAATTCAAGACTCAATGTACACATGAAATTTTTAATAGCATTACTTTTTATAAGGACAATAATGCTAAAGAATGAGTCAAGGCAAGGTCATCCTTATGAAGATATCGAAACTACCCACTCCAGACTAGTCTCTGTAAAATCACTTTTTTAAAAAGTTTATAACCGATGTAGTTAATATCCTTCTTTCTTGAGTGCCTCAAAATTCTGGTTTTGATTCAGAAGACTGAATCTATGTCAGAGTTGCTTATGTTAAGCTGGCCCACTTATTTTTCCTCAGCTACACTATATATTCCATCTCTTTCTGTGCTCTTAGACCCCAACTATTCTCTATTTCTCTAGATCATACCCAACCTTCAAAGAAGATCCAGTCTTCCAGTCACCTCCTTATACTTTTCTCCAACATCGCCACCTTTAAGTGATTACTCCCTCCTCCCAGTACCCATAACTGTCTGCGTCACTCATTAGTCACTGGGCAGAAGGCACGTTGTAAAGTAAGAATCTCAACGTAAACCTAGGTGACGATCACTGCTTTAAAATGCCCTGCCCAACTCCAAGACTATGTCCACTGAGACCCTGAGAATCTGACTATGGTATGGAAGCAAGAATCTCAAAGTGCTTGCATCTTTTAGGCTATTATTAGACCTATCCTGTTTTCTTCTGGCACAATGCTAGAAAATAAACTTTCCCTTGCAAACTATCCATCCCCGTGTCTAGGGAGAGGCTAAATGAGGGTTTCAACCATTCATCTTTAATCCACTTTTTTTGGTCAAACTCATTATTATACATAAGCAAAATTGAGCTCTTAAAAACCTAGTGTACTTAACATAATTATTATTAATCCTGAATTGTTTTACCCTAACTAGAATCATGTAAGAAGTCTCACTTTAGACCATAAGGTCCTAGGGTTGGAAATGAATTTAGAGTTTTATTATTCCAAATCTTTGTCTTATTAAAAGAGAAAATTGAGACCCAGAAAGAGTTAAGAATTTACTCAAAGTTCCAAAGAGGTACAGTGACAGAGCCAGGTCTCGGATTTAGATGTCAAGATTTCAGTTTACTATACTCCTTTTACGCCTTTCTGCCTCTCCTCCTCTAGGGAATTCCCTAGGTAAATATATACCCCTTCTTCTCCTTAAGAGAGGATTGTCGTCTGGGCATGGTGGCTCATGCCTGTAATCCCAGCATTTTGGGAGGCTGAGGCGGGCAGATCACGAGATCAAGAGATCAAGACCATCCTGGCCAACATGGTAAAACCCTGTCTCTACTAAAAATACAAAATTAGCTGGGCATGGTGGCGTGCACCTATAATCCCAGCTACTCGGGAGGCTGAGGCAGGAGAATCACTTGAACCCAGGAGGTGGAGGTTGCAGTGAGCTGAGATTACACCACTGCACTCCAGCCTGGTGACAGAGTGAGATTCTGTCTCAAAAACAAAAAAAAGAAAAGAAAAAAGAGAGAGAGAGAGAGAGAGAGAGAGAGAGGATTGTCTTGGTCAATAAGATTTTGAACATGACAAACATCACCATTTTCTTTGCTTTACCAGAGTTCTTGACAAAGAGCATAAAGGAATCCTGGAGGTGGTGAGATGAATTGGAGGACAGACTTGAGTCAGATAACACTACCTGCTCCTTTGCAGTGTCAAATGGATTAGATGTGATAATGCAAACAGCGTAACGTGCATAATAGGTTGATATGTGATGATTTGCCTTCTTTTCCTCAACTCCAAATATCAATTTCAATAATCAGGTGGGGAAACTAGCAGGGCATCCAACATCTGGAACTGAAAAGTGATGATGGTGGTCAAAATAAAATTTTCTGTTTTAAATAAATGCACATTAGTAAAAACATGAAAAATGGAAAATTCTAGCTTGGAGACTTATTTATTCTTTTAGCATACCCATCTTTTTGTTATTACAGTGTAAGTGGAGAATGTTTCACCATGGACACAGTTGTATATGCTGAATAGAGATTTTGCATTGTTTGACTTTCCATTCGAGTTTAGTTTTCTGTGCATCATGCCTAATGGAACAGCCTGACTAATACATCATATCATTTGTGAGTTAACTTTTTAAATCTGAGTTTAACAAAGGGAAATAAGTATAGAAGCTAAAAGAATAAAGAGGAGTAAAAATAGCAAGAAAGCCTAAACTCTGCGGCCCCAGATTATTCTGATGTATTGACTGACAAATTTTTCACTTTTCTAATGTGTCCTCTTCTTTACTCTTTACTGGTGAGAAAATTATTTCTATAGGAGATCTTTAAGATTCTTCATTTGTGTAGTAATTAGACTACAACAATAAAACTGTAAACTCCTTAGAAGTGAAAGTGTTTAAAACATAGAGAAGTGAAAATAATGATGACTTTGAGCATCTATTTTGTGCTTGGTACTCGGCTAGGTAATTCTGGATGTGTCATTGAGCCTTGCAATAATTTTTCAAGGTAAGTATTATTAATCTATTTCAGAGAAGAGACATAGAAAATAATTGGCTTACCCAAATCACATGGATGATAAAGAGCGGAGCAGTCAAACCTGCCACTATAGGGCCCTACCAATTACCTACACAGTCTTCCTTAAAAGAGGCAATGGTAATATATTTAGCTTTAGAGTCAGGAGATGTAGGCTAGAACTCAGGTCTTTATTTATAAATGTTTAGAGCTTAGACAAAATATATGGTTGTCTGGGCTTTAATTTCTTTATCTATAAAATGAGAATGCTAGTGCCTACCTCAAATGGTGTTGTGAGGAATAAATGAATCCCTACAATCTGTGAAAGTGATTTTTAAGCTGCTGAAAGCAATCCAAGGGAAGATGTTTGGTAGTCGCTCTCTCAGTGCCTGCTACAATGATCTGCTGCCTCCTACCCACCTTTCAGGATGGCCTTGAAGAGTTTGTGGATGGTGGATGCCAAGGTCAACACAAGCAGCAATGTGAGAAGATGAGTTATGAACCTTTTTAGGAGCTCTGAAAAGCTCAACCACTCTACAAAATCGTTCTTAGAAATTTAGTTTTCCAAAGGCAACTAAAACAGTCTTGCAGAATTGCAGAAGCCAGAAGAATATCTTTAAACCTTAGTTAGAAAATGAAGACCCTTGAGTACCTAACTAGGCAGAAACTTTAATATACCCCATTAGATTTTCAAGAAAGTATAGAAATTATGTAGCATAAAGGCTTATTTTTGCAGATGAGAAACATGAGATCTGGATACCATACTAATCAGTAGCAGAATTGGGCCTAAAACCCAGGCCTCCTGGTTCCAAGTCGGTGCTCCTATCTACTATATGAATTGTTCCTCTAAATGCATTCAAATGCATAGGAATGGCATTGACAACAAAGTTAATGACAAAGTATTAACTATTAAGGCCCACCAGTATGGACCTGGATGGGTTTGAACTTACCATGTGACCTTCAGCAAGTTACTTCACATCTGTGCCTCAGTGCCCCCATCTGTAAAATAGGTGTTATGATAATGCTAATTTCATGGATTATTATGAAGGTAATATACAGAAAGTTCTTAACACGGTGCCATTCATTGCTCATTTGTTAGTTATTGTATAATCATCAATCCTCTGCATGTCATCAAACCAGAATTATGACTACCCATGCCTCTCCTTTTTAGGATAACCCCAAACGATCTGGGAGCCTACCAGGAGACAGCTTGGATATAACTTAGGCAGATCCTGTCTGCTTCTTTCCACATTAAGCAGAATTTGAAGCAATCATAACATGATAGGATGCGCCTTGATATGAGGGGATAAAAGGAGATGTAGCACTCATTCTGAGAATTTGAGCCTGAGTCCCAATTTTTTCACCTACAAATGAGAATACTAATACCCATTCTTTTTAACTTTGTGATACTCAAAACTGTCAGCTTCCACAAATATTATATTATACTATTCATTGTTATAGAAATTTAAAGCAAAAAGCAAAAATGCTGGTGGTTTTTCTTCTTGGTTTTATAAGCCACAGCCTCTCACTGAAGTGGCTTTTTTACTTCCTTCTCACACTCAGTATCTGGGGGATTTAATGTCAGAAACGGGTTAACATTCTATTAATTACATTTGATCTCATGGCCATGAACTTAGGTATTTGCTCACCTCTAATCAGGAAAATGTGGTCGTTGCCTTAGAACATGAGATCCTTTCTAAATAAATTGCGAAAGTCCTTTCAATAGCCGGCTTGCTCTTTTTACATAGGAGCTTAGATTTGGAATTTGTAAAGCCACGCTAACCAGCTACCTGCTTTGTGTACTGTCCTAACAATTTGGCCTTTGATTTTATGTTTCTTTCAAAAGCATACAAGCAGTAGGCAAACATTATTCATCAAACTGGTTTGATGACGTCCTTTTGAATTTAGCTTTTTTTATTCTCCTGTGGCACGGTTACATCTATTCTCAAGGCTGTGATGACCCACGTGTGCTGAGGCCTCTGGGCAGTAGTGCCACATTAGAGCTTTCATTGAACAGCTCAAGAGCTCCAGAGTTCCTACTGGTTGCCTGCAGAAAGATATTTAGCATTTTCTCTGCTATTGCCTCCTTCCCTTGTCACAGTTTTCTCAGAGTTGTCTTAGAGGAAGTATTCATCTATATCTCTGTTAAGAGCTTTGATGTATAAGGACCCCACTTGCAGGGGTTGTGAGGCTGCATCTGGCAGATGTGTTGATGTATAACTAGCTAAATTCTTTAAGTTCAATCTGATCAATACTATAGTCAGTATTAGCCTCACACTCCTCCTGTGCATCCTTTACCAAGCCCATGGTTTCTGCCCAGCCACGGTCCTTGAATCTATACTGCCTGATGTGGACACTTGCGTTAAGAATAGCTATCCTCAAAGGTACTCGCATTGTCACCTTTTGAACTTCTCTGCCCTTTCTTCCTTTCCTCCCTCCCCATTCAGTCCCCAACTTCACATACCCAGAAATCCTAGAAGCTTCCTCCCAGTAATATCCTTGGAAGAAGCTGACCAGGCTCGGGGGAAATAAAGTAGTAGAGAAGTCCATATTGGCCTCTTCCAATGATTTCAGCTCCAAAAGAGAAATAAAAGCCCTAGATGGAGACTGACCAGCCTTTTACCCACTTCACACACATGGTAAATGTTCTCTGCTGATAACTCTTTCTTCCATTTGAGTTCTCTGCTGATAACTCTTGCTTCCATTTCTCTGCTGATAACTCTTGCTTCCAAGTGAGAATCTTTGTGTCTAGGGATAAAGTGACTGACTCCAATGGGAGGTCACTTTCAGAAGAAACAGAAATAGATGGATCCCACAGCACTAATCAATGCTAATATTGGGTGTGTTAAAAATAAACATGTGTTTTCCCTCAGTGAAATACAACTTCCCCAACCATTTCTTTTTTCCTTTCTCTTTCTCAATATTTCATTAATGCAAACTTTTCCTGATTCAAAAGGTATTCCTGCATATAGATTGGTTTCCACTAAAAGAAGTACATTTTGATAAAATTTACCCAAAGTGAGCAGCATAAACATAGCAGCATGACATCACCTATGGTCACCCTGAGATTGTAACCAGTGAGGTAAATCTGAGCCAAAGACAGCTTTATATCTTTTAGTGGCTTTATTCACTTTCAACTCAGTGGCTTGCTGAAATAGCTGTAATAATTAAACAGAAAACTTCTCGGCTATCTAGATTATATAAAGATAGATGCTAAATGTCACACTAGAGTGGGAAAACTGTTGTGTGGCGATATGGCTAGGTTACTAAACTGCCTTATACAGAACCTAATGCAATTAGTACTTCTGACCATAGACTTTCCACTCCTTTTTAAAACAGTAACACTAGCAAAGAAGCAATAGAAAGCAAAGAGATCACAATGGCTAACTCAGAGGTTCAGATCTTTGCTCTGTCACTTATGGTTTGTATGAACTTGGACAGGTAATTGAACATTTCTGTGTTACTTTCTTCATCTATAAACATGAATATTAGTAATACCTTTCTTTCAGGGCTGCTTTGAGGATATGAGAACACACACATGCATACATACATATATACACATACATCCATACTTACATACATTAACATGCAGATATAGTAGTGCTCAAAAATTGTTGGATGTTGTTAACATTTGTTGCTATCAGGTTGGTGCAAACATAATTGTGCTTTCTACATTGTTGGAATTTGCCATTTGATATTGGAATACATTCTTAAATAAATATGGTTGTGTTATACATCATTTTAATGCACATTTCTTGCTTTATGGTTTTTTTTTTTTTTTTGCTAATGACATATTACTTGCTGTTTATTTTATATTTATTTTAGACTATCAAAATGATGTTAGACCAAAAGCAAATTTGAGTGATTTTCTTATTTGAGTTCAAAATGAGTCGTAAAGCAGTGGAAACAATTTGCAATATCAACAACGCATTTGGCCCAGGAATTGCTAAGGAATGTACAGTGGAGTGATAGTTCAAGAAGTTTTGCAAAGGAGAGGAGAGCTTTGAGGATAAGGAGCGGAGTGGCCAACCATCAAAAGTTGACAATGACCAATTGAGAGTATTTATTGAAGTTGGTCCTCTTAAAACTACAGGAGAAGTTGCTGAAGAACACAATGCCGACCATTCTATAGTCATTCGGCATTTGAAGCAAATTGGAAAGATGAAAGAGCTTGATAAGTGGGTGACTCATGAGCTGAGTGAAAATCAAAAAAAATAATCGCTTTGAAGTGTCATCTTTTCTTATTCTATGTAACAACAATGGACCATTCTCAATCAGATTGTGATGTGTGATGAAAAGTGAATTTTATATGACAATGGTGACAACCAGCTCATTTGTTGGACTGAGAGGAAGTTCCAAAGCACTTCCCAAAGCCAAACTCACACCAAAAAAATGGTCTTGGTCACTGTTTCGTGGTCTGCTGCCAGTCTGATACACTACAGCTTTCTGAATCCCAGCAAAACCATTACATCTGAGAAGTATGCTCAGCAAATTGATGAGATATATCAAAAACTTCAATGCCTGCAACCAGCATTGTTCAACCGAAAGGGGCCAATTCTTTTCCTCAACAACGCCCAACTACATGTTACACAACCAATGCCTCAAAAGTTGAACAAATTGGGCTATGCGGTTTTGCCTCACCTCCCATATTCACCTGACCTCTCGCCAACCAACTACCACTTCTTCAAGCATCTTGACAACTTTTTGCAGCAAAAACACTTCCACAACCAGCAGGATACAGAAAATGCTTTCCAAGAGTTTGCCGAACCTGGAGGCTTGAATTTTTAGGCTACAGGAATAAACAAACTTATTTCTTGTAGGCAAAAATGTGTTGATTGTAATGGTTCCTATTTTGATTAATAAAGATGTGCTTGAGCCTCGTTATAATGATTTAAAATTCATGGTCCAAAACAGTAATTACTTTTGCACCAACATTTCCTGTGTTCTTACTATGCACCAGTACAGTGCTAAGCATTTTACATGTGTAAATTCAGTTATTTCTTACAACCACTTGAAGACGTAAATAATATTATAGGCTCTTTCAAATGATGGAGATACTAGCGGCCAAGTTTGCTAGACAACTTGCCTTAGGTCACACAGTTAATAAGTAACACTGGGGCTCAGGCCTTATTAGAGCACCTTACTAGACACCGTGGATTGCCTCCCCACTGTTGAACACTAGACAAAGGACTCACTCCCCAGGCTGCCATTTGCAAGTAGCCAGCCATTCTGTCTATAGTGTTGAGTCATCAGAGTATACATGCAGACATGCAAACACCAAAACATCTGAACTATTTAGTGTGTCTACCTCCCATTTATTCAATAATTCATTCAAAAGCAGTTACTGAAAGTCTGTTCTATGCCAGGCTCTGTGCAAGTTCTGAAGGGTCAAGAGATGACTGAGATAAGTCCTTGCCCTTGGGAGTATTCCAATTCAAGTCAGGGGAACAGAAGTATTAAAAACAATTATATGTGGCTGCCTGCTACCTAGGGCTGTGCCCTCAAATAAAAAGAAGGCTTCCAAGGTGAACTGAACCAATGCCCAGCCCTGTGCCCAAAACTCTCAAGGGAAGAATTTTCTTCTTCAGTTCCTCTTCCTCAACTGATAATTACTCCACACATAGAGAGTCATTCTTACCAATAAATATTCCACTGTGAGGGTTTCAATTTCCTTCAATAGCTAGATCTATTCCCAAAGACAAGTCTTCTCATAAACAACCAACTCTCCATAGGAATCCAACATTTTTCCATAATCTCTTCCATTTTTTATTATATCTTTGAGGTGTTACTTAGCTGAACAAGAAAAGCAGTTTTACCCATGACTGGGTCTTTGCTTAGATTGAAATAGGGAATCTTCATTGTTTTATATTGACACCAAAGGCTTAAGGATCTTAGGCCCTTGCAGACTATAAAAATGTCACTAGGAAATTAAAATCTTAAAGATAAAAATAGTGGCATAGTTTTATTTATTTTTTCATTCTATAAATACTTATTCAACA